TATTTGACATAGGCATACATAGTAAACTTAAGTGTCACGCTGGGAACCCCCTAATTGACCTATAATTATTTCCCGTGGTAGGATACACTATTTACCTGTAATATTATTCCTGGTCCAACTAAAAGATTATAGGTCAATATTAAGGTCTGATATCGCGCCTTGCGTTTATTAACCATTGATGATTTGAATTTTAAAAGCATTTTAGAAGTCTTATTTCTTCATTTTAAGCTTCTCAGAACACTTTATTTCACATAGGCATACATAGTAAACTTTAGGGTCACGCTGTGTGCCCCCTAATTGACCTATAATTATTTCNCCCTGTAATATCTGGTCCGGTCCAACTAAAATATTATAGGTCAATATTAAGGTCTGATATCGCGCCTTGCGTTGGTTAACCATTGATGATTCTAATTTTAAAAGCATTTTAGAAGTCTTATTTCTTCATTTAAAGCTTCTCAGAACACTTTATTTCACATAGGCATACATAGTAAAGTTTAGGGTCGCGCTGTGTACCCCCTAATTGACCTATAATTATTTCCAGTGGTAGGGTACACTATTACTCTGTAATACAATACCTGGTCACATTGAAATATTATAGGTCAATATTAAGGTCCGATACCGTGCCGTTAGTTATCTTTGAAAAGTGTCTTCGAGTTTCCCTGTTTTAATGCACTATTTAAAATATACATAGTGTACCCCCTATCTCACCTATAATTATTTCCTGTGGTAGGGTACACTATTACCCTGTAATATAATACCTGGTCCAACTGAAATGTTATAGGTCAATATTAAGGTCTGATATATTTCGCCTTACGTTGGTTAACCATTGAAAGAAGTCTTTGAATTTTTAAAGCATTTTAGAAGTCTTATTTCTTCATTTTAAGCTTCTCAGAACAAATTATTTCACATAGGCATACATAGTAAACTTTTGGGTCACGCTGTGTGCCCCCTAATTGACCTATAATTATTTCCTGTAGAAGTGTACACTATTACCCTGTAATATAATACGTGGTCCAATTTAAAAATTATAGGTCAATATTAAGGTCCGATACCGTGCCGTTAGTTAACATAGAAAAGTGTCTTCGTTCGCATAGGCATACATAGTAAACTTTAGGGTCACTCAGTGTACCCCCTAATTGACCTATAATTACTTCCTGGTTTAGGGTACACTATTTCCCTGTAGTATAATACGCGGTCCAATTTAAAAATTATAGGTCAATATTAAGGTCCGATACCGTGCCGTTGGTTAACAAAAAAAGATGTCTTTGAATTTTTAAAGCTTTTTAGAAGGCTTAATTCTTCATTTAAAGCTTCTCAGAACACTTTATTGGACATAGGCATACTTAGTAAACTTTAGGGTCTTTTCCTGTGGTTGGGTACACTATTACCCGGCAATATAATACCTGGTCCAATTTAAATGTTATGGGTCAATATTAAGGTCCGATACAGTTTCGCTACTTAACATAGAAAAATGTCTGTGAATTTTTAAAGGTTTTTGGAAGGCTTATTTCTTCATTTTAACCTTCTAAGAACAATTTATTTGACATAGGCATACATAGTAAACTTTAGGGTCACGCTGTGTACCCCCTAATTGACCTATAATGATATCGCGCCTTGCGTTAGTTAACCATTGAAAGATGTCTTTGAATTTTTAAACGTTTTTGGAAGGCTTATTTCTTCATTTTAACCTTCAAAGAACACTTTATTTGACGAAGGCATACATAGTAAACTTTAGGGTCACGCTGTGTACCCCCTAATTGACCTATAATTATTTCCTGTGGTAGGGTACACTATTACCATGTAATATAAATCCGGGTCCAATTAAAATAATATAGGTCAATATTAAGGACCGAAATCGGGCCTTGCGNGTTAGTTAACCGTGGAAAGATGTCTTTGAATTTTTAAAGCATTTTAGAAGTCTCTTTTCTTCATTTTAAGCTTCTCAGAACACTTTATTTCACATAGGCATACATAGTAAACTTTAGGGCCACGCTGTGTGTCCCCTAATTGACCTATAATTATTTCCTGTAGAAGTGTACACCTTTACCCTGTAATATAATACCTGGACCAACTAAAATATTATAGGCCAATATTAAGATCCGATACCGTGGCGTTAGTTAACATTGAAAAGTGTCTTCGAATTTCCTTGTTTTAATGCACTATTTAAAATATACATAGTGTACCCCCTAATTCAACCTATAATTATTTCCTGTGGTAGGGTACACAATTACCCTGCAATATAATACCTGGTCTATTAAAATATTATAGGTCAATATTAAGGTCCGAAATCGGGCTAACAGTGAAGAGGGACTTCGCGCTTCCTATCTTTAAAGGGTTTTAGAAGGTGAATTTCCTTATTTTAAGCTCTTTCGAACACTTATTTTAGATACGCACACATAGTAAATCACAGGAACTCATTGTGTTCCCTCTAAT